AGCGAGGGTCATGGCGGGCATCGCTTCACACACCCCAGTCAGCCATTTCTCGAGGCACAGCTGGGACAATCGCTCCTTTTCAGCCCCTTTTCTGATTTTTTTTTTCCCCCTTCTCCTTTGGGGGGTGGAAATAAAGGGCCACTTGTGTGGCTGCCCAATAAACTGATATGGGGGACACACACAACACACACAGGTGCTTCAACATGGGGCGTTCTTCCATACCACAGAGTCCCACCTTTCAGTCTTCTCCTCCCGCAGAGGGCAAGGACATGGGGGAATCCAATGTAGAGTTCATTTCACGTCATTTCTACCTGGCTGCCCAATAAACTGATATGGGGGACACACACAACACACACAGGTGCTTCAACATGGGGCGTTCTTCCATACCACAGAGTCCCACCTTTCAGTCTTCTCCTCCCGCAGAGGGCAAGGACATGGGGGAATCCAATGTAGAGTTCATTTCACGTCATTTCTACCCCACTTCGTTTCCCTCACAACGACCCTGTGAGGTAGGTTAGGCCAAGAGTGTGTGCGCGTGAGTGGCCCAAAGTCCGCCCAGCAAGCTCCCGTTCCCGAGCAGGGATTCGAACCCGGGTCTCTCAGATCCCGGTTTGGCACTCTGGCTTCCGCGCCAAGCTCAGCCTCTCGATAGCAGTGGGGAGGTTCTGGGGAGGCTCGCATTTGCAGGGTACAGACCGCCTTACAGGGCAATGCTCCCTCCAAGCTGCGGAGTCTTGTGAGCAAAAATTCGGCTTCGTGAGCTGCTGGCGTTAAAGCTGTGGGCGAGCGATTGGGCCGCTGTGTAAATTACTTTGCTCTGGAGCCCCTCCTTCCTGAGTTGAGACAAAAATGTGTGAGCTGGAAGCTAAAAAACTGCGAGCTGGCTCACACTGACTCAGCTTAGAGGGAGCACTGCTTACAGGACCTCCTCAGGGGACTGAGGAGGTGATGGTAGTTGACAGGCGAGGATTGCAAACCATAAAAGATGCCACCTTCTTGAAGGTGTCGTAAAAGATTGGTTCGTTCTGACATTTTCAGGCTGGTCATGCTCCACAGACCCCCCCAGGTGAAGAGTATTTCTGCCGCACTGGGTACCAATGTTCCCTCTAAGCTGTGGAGACTTGTGAGCAAAAATTATGCTTTGTGAGCTACTGGCATTAAAGTTGTGAGCGAGCGATTTGGCTGCTGCATAAATTCGTCTGCTCTGGAGCCATCCTTCCTAAGCTAAGACAAAAATCTGTGAGCTGGAGGCTAAGAAACTGTGAGCTGGCTCACACAAACTCAGCTTAGAGGGAACAGTAACTCAGTTTAGTAACAGTTTAGAGGGAACAGTAACTCAGTTTAGAAACTGTGAGCTAGCTCACACTAACTCAGCTTAGAGGGAACACTGACCAGGACTATTATAATTATTTGCCTCAAGGACAGATGATTACAACAGCCCCGTATCGAGCATGGTGTGGGTTTTACTTCGGCCCTAGCCCCCAGAAATTCTGGGGACAGGCTAAGGCAGATTTGCGGAGTATGCGGTTCCTTTGCAGAGCCCGTTTCTTTGGGGAAAACTACATGTTACACTTTCTAATGAGTGAGGTCCGAGTTCCCCAGCCCGAATGCCTTTCCTAACAGGAACCTCTCCTCCCCCAAGCCATGGGCTTGTGAGTGGGTAGGTTCCTGGAGGAATGGCATAGAAATGTTCTAAATAAATAAAATATTACAGAGCAGAGATGCACATTTGTTTTCTCAGTTGTTTTCTTGGTCTATGTGGGATGCCATTGTGCTTTATTTCCTTCTTGAAGGGGTACGTATAGGTGGGGTGAGGTGGCAAATTCTCTGCTAATCCTCCCCCTCAAGAGGGACACGGGTCTAAAACCCACCCCGTGATTCCTTAATTCAGAAAGGGGGAGAGATTGGCTGAATAAATAAAATATTCCCTGTTCTAAGGTTAGAAAAAATTGATGGATGAAGATAGATGTAAAATGTCTTCCTCAGCTGGTCGCCTGTGGCAGGGTTAGAATCGCCTCCAGGCGACCAAGCTCAAGGCTTCCTTTACAGCTGTCCTAACCCCTCAGTATGGGTCCTTGAAGGAGGGAAGAAAAGGGCAGTTACCATGGTTATTCTCGCAGCATTACCTATGTTTCCACCCAGGTATTCTGGGTTAAGGACTGTGGAATAATGGCAGCCCCATGGTTTTAGTCACTGGCACAAATGTAAAAATCCCCATTTTGTTTGTTTGCATGTATTGGTAAAGAGAGAGAAGGTCCTTTTCTTTAGCTCCTTTGTTGGGAAATAAAGCTGTTGGTTAAAGGAGATACCTAATCCCAGTAATGTGACCTTGAGACTATGCCCCCTGCCAGCGCTCTCCATCTTGAACATTGAGAGAGGCTTTTTAGACACTTTCCTGAGCTTTTATGCTTTGAATAACATTTGAAGGGTAGAATCTATCGTTTAAGAGCAGTTTTTCCCTACGGAGAGAGCCGTGTCCACTGTGTTAACATCTAGTGTTTGGTTTTCCTTTTTATTTTCTTTTTTTTTTGAGCCAGCTGTTTTCACTAAAATGCACCTATGCCACCCTCTGCACTAGGGACTGGTTTAACTGTCTCCGGAGAAGGGGCCTCAGTTAAGACCACCCTTGCTTCCTTTTCTCTCAGCTGTGTATATAACCCGCAACCATTTGTCTTGAATAATATTTTATTTTTGTAGCACGACTTTCATGTCGAAGGACCCCAGTGGACATCATAACCCTAATACCTCCAGCATCCCCGAAATGCAGTCACCTCTGAGGTGGAAAGGGGCAGACAACTGGTGTATCTTTCCCCAGAATGTGGATGGGTCTGAAGAGGTAGAAAGGTAAAATTTTGGACGAGGGCAAATAGGGTAAACCTTTGTTTTTGCAAAACGCTTTACTGTCATGACCTCCGGATACCTATGTCAAGTCATTCCTTACTGTGCAAAGAGTTTTATTTTTAAAAAGCGGGACGTGAAAATCCTTCAGTTTTGAATTCAGCTTCTATTTTTACCATCTGAGTCGTTTTCAGCTTCTCTACTCATGAGAAATACTGGTGGGCGTGTTCTTAACATGAAGTATTCCATAAGTTTGGGCTTGGTATTATTCTCTGGACCTCAGCAGTTGCACGAGTTTAGCTGACTGTCTCCTGGGTCACTATAAAAGTCGAGCCTCTCGCTCACCTTAGAGGCAACATAAGTCTGGCTTTTTATTCTGGGATTTAATTGTGTGTTTTTTTAATCACAACACTTCACACTTTATGCTTCCTTGTAAAGAATGCGTGGTTAGATATCTTTAGAAGGTGCAAGTTGTAATTTTAGATGTGATGCGTAATTCAAGATATTCTGTGCTGTGAATGTGGCCTCTCGTATGTAATTTCTGTGCCTGGGTCATATATAGCCGTGCAGCGACCACTGCGCTCTGAAAGCAAACACTGGCTCTCCCTGCCTAAGCGACTGGGGAGTGGGAGAGAATGTCTGCTATAAAAGGCCTTCGTCATTAGAATTCAGTCGTGCCTATACTGAAACAGGCATTTGAACTTTTATCTTGAACAGTATCCTCCTTCCCGTCTCCCTCCCTCGAAACACCACAAAATGTTTGAAATGTGCTAGAAT